TTTTGAGACAGAGTCTTACTCTATGCCCAGGCTGGAGTGCAGTGATGCAATCTCGATTCACTGCAACCTCTGCCTGCTGGGTTCAAGTGATTCTCAGGCCTTAGCCTCCCAAGTAGCTGAAACTACAGGTAGATGCCACTATGCTTGGCTAATGTTTGTATTTTTAGTAGAGACTGGGTTTTATCATGTTGGGTAGGCTGGTCTTGAACTCCTGACCTCAAGTGTTCTACCACCTTAGCCTCCCAAAGTGCTGAGATTACAGGCGTGAGCCACTGCACTTGGCTTTCACCTTTATGTTATTCTTTATAACTCTCTTATTTCCTGGTTCCTTTTACCTTGTTTTATATATAACCTCTTTTTTTTTTTTTTGATATGGAGTCTCACTCTATTGTCTAGGCTGGAATGCAGTGGCACAGTCTTGGCTCACTGCAATTTCTACCTCATGGGTTCAAGCAATTGTTCTGCCTCAGCCTCCCAATTAGTTGTGACTACAGGTGTGTGCCACCACACCCAGCTAATTTTTGCATTTTTTAAAGTAGAGACAGGGCTTTGCCATGTTGGCCAGGCTGGTTTTGAACTCCTGACCTCTGGTGATCTACCTGCCTTGGCCTCCCAAAGTGCTGGGATTACAGGAGTGAGTCACCATGCCCAGCCTATATATAACCTTTAAGTAATCTTTGAATTAGACAAAAAATATTTTCCTTTTGTTAGGAAGTTAAGGTTTATACTGCGTGTTGCTGTGTGAGTTCTGTGAAAGGGGCACAAATGAAGAGATTATCCCCCCTCAAGAGATTGCTGGGTTAAATTTCTTGCTAGGGTGTGCCTGAATAAGTGTGGCTCTTTTTAAACCCCTGAGGTAGGACTATCTAGGTTGAACCTATTGGTTAAAGATTTCGGTAGCTTTTCTGGGAGAAAAAGAGATATTAGAGGGAAAGATGAATTCAGAAGTTGGGTAAACGTTAAGCAGGCACCCATCTTGGAAAGGATATAGTTGCCTCAAAGGGGTGTGGGGCATTTGGATATTACCAGGGACTGGTAGGGGAATGGTAATTAATCCCTTAAGTAATATGAAGGGGTATGGACTTTTCCTTTTGGAGGGAGGGGGTGCCACTTGTTCTCCTTACTCTACAGGGTTTGGAGGAGAGTTGCTCAGAGAAGATTAGTATAGAGTCGCTACAAGTCACTTCTGTAGCCAAAGGATAAGTCCAAAATGTCTAAAGGCAAAATCTTTACTTGCTAATAGAGGGGAGACGCCACTTTCCAAACAGGTCACAATAAAGACAGCATGAGGCCAACCAAATCTGTTTCTCTCTCCTCCTTTTTCTGTTGTTTACTAAAAGGTAAACAAAAATCTTTCATTATTTTAAAACATTACATAAAAATCTTGTTTAAAAGAGAAAGCCAAATTTCACCTTTGCATTAGTATATTATTAATGTTAAACATAATTCTTAATAAAATCTTATAAACAAATCTATACAATCATAATCAGTTTGACCATAAGGTAAAATGTCCATAAACCTCTCCTAAGTCTTTACAATTTTCTGTTGAACAAACAAATTCTCTGGAAAGCCATTATTGAGACACATGGGCCCAGATTCTGGCCCTACATCAGTATGCTTTTATTTCAGTGTTTGACCTATGGAAAAACTAAATGATTCCTTATGCCCACAGAACTTTTCACAAGATTAACCCTTCACAAATCATTTTCAACACGCTTAAATCATCAGTTTTGTACCATTACTCTTTTTTGTTGTTGTTGAGAAGGGGTCTCGTTCTGTTTTCTAGGCTGGCTGGTGTGCAGTGGTACAATCTTGGCTCACTGCAACCTCCACCTCCCGAGGTCAAGTGATTCCTCTGCCTCAGCCTCCCAAGTAGCTGGGATTATAGGCACCTGCCACCATGCCTGACTAATTTTTGTATTTTTACAAAATACAAAAATTGGGTTTGTCATGTTGGCCAGGCTGGTCTTAAACTCCTGACCTCAAGTGGTCTGCCCACCTCAGCCTCCCAAAGTGCTGGGATTACAGGCGTGAGCTACCATGCCAAGCTGTCCCGTTACTCTTTTAGGTGAGGCCAATACTTAAAACCCTCTGAGCTAGACAAAATTATGTTCTCTTTTACAGAAACCATACTCACATGCCTTCTTATAACCTCCCACCGAGAACACATTCTTTATTTACACTGTCTTTATTTTTTATTTTATTTACACTATCTTTATTTTGTATTATATTTACACTGTCTTTATTTTTTATTTTATTTATACTGTCTTTATTTTTAAATTATATTTACAGTCTTTTTTTAATCATTAGAGTCATGTGACCTAAAAGAGATTAAAGTTTCAATTTTTCTGATAATAGGTTTGATTTTAGTTTCCTTAAGCCAATTAATTAGAGCTTTTATATAAATACTATACACACAACACATATAAATACACAGACAGACAGAAATGGAGAATCAAGACAAAATTCCATTGACTGAGAAGTTTTTAGAGAGAAGGGGCTTTTTTTTTTTTTGAGACAGGCAGACTGGAGTGCAGTGGTGCAATCACAACTCACTGCAGCCTCAACCTCTTGGACTCAAGTGATCCTCCCACTTCAGCCTCCTGAGTAGCTAAGGCTACAGATGCCTGCCACTACACCCAGCTTTTGGTAGAGATGGGGTTTTCCCAAGTTGCCCAGACAGGTCTCAAACTCCTGAGCTCGAGCGATCTGTCTGCCTCTGCCTCTCAAAGTGCTACAATTACAGGCATGAGCCACTGTGCCTGACCAGCAGGGGCTTTTAAAACAGTATCTGTATAATACAGGCCAAATATCATCTTTAATTAAGTTGATTTCTGACTATGGGGTTCTCAAAGTAAAAATCCCTTAAAAATCTTTTATTACCAGACTTTAGCCAGGACAAATGGCCAATATTTCTGGCTTTTGAATCTTTACCTAAAGGTTACCTCCTATGTGAAATTTGTAAGCCGTAAATAAGGGGATGACTTAAACACAGACACACAGTGTCTCCAAAGAGATGGTAAGCAATTTACAAGATCTAGAATTGCCCCAAAGGTAACTCAGAGAAAAGAAAATTTCAAGACAGGAAATCAGGAGCTGTCCACGGAGGGAAAAAGAATCAATAAATGATTAAGCCCCAGAAGACTCACTTTTGAAACCGGGAATTGAACCCAAGGCACCAGTGTAAGAGGGCAAAGCCTTAGCAACTGAGCTACAGCAAGAGTCCCCAACCCCAGGGCAGTAGGCTGGTTCTGGTCCACGGCCTGTTAGGAACCAAACTGCACAGCAACAGGTAAGCGGTGGACAAGCGAGTATTACCACCTGGGCTCTGCCTCCCGTCAGATCAGCGGAGGCATTAGATTCTCATGAAAGCGTGAACCCTATTGTGAACCTCTTATGAAGGAACATAAGGGGGTTTCCTTCTTATGAGAATCTAATGCCTGGCGATCTAAGGTGGAACAGTTTCATCCCAAAATCATCCCTTGCCTTCCCTGGTCTGTGGAAAAATTGTCTTCCATGAAAAGGGTCTCTGATGCCAAAAAGATTGGGGGCCACTGACCTATAGTGCAAGGTGGCTGCTGTTAGTTTTTTCCAGGAGGATTTTAGAGCATTTGCAAGCTTACAAAGGATTTTAACTTCTCGAGAGAACTTTCTAGGACTAGCCATGTTATTTTTACGCATGCTTCTTTTAATTTAGTCTTGTTCTTTTAATGGTGTACTCAGTTCCAGTAGTGACTCAATCTAAAAGCCTGTTGAAGTCCAGATAGTAATTTTCCAGATTTTTACCACGTAAGCAAAAGGTATTTCCAGAAACGGGTAGAGGAGGCATCTCCATGACAGGCAGCTCTTGAACTCAAAGGGCTTATACTCTTGGGGGTGGAGGTAGAGAGCAGTGTCTTAGTTAAGTGAGCACACAAATAAATAGGTAATTAGACATGGTGGCCCATGCCCTAAAGGAAAGGTAGAGGTACTATTAAGACATGTGGCTTGGGGACCTGACCTGGGATGAATGGTTGAGGAGAGGTTTCTCAAGGAGATGATGTTTGACTTGAGATGTGGGCAATCTGAGTAGGTGTTAACTGGGTGAAGGCCTGAGCAAGGTGGATTGGAAGACCATTCAGTCATGGGGAGCAGATTAATCTCGTTTTGATGAATGAAGTTCAGAGAAGCTTTGCTGTGAAATATTGATTACTCTCCCAAGTGTGGAGGAGCAGCATAGTGTGGCAAAGACACAGGCTCAGACCCAGAATGCCTGGGTTTGAATTTTCTTGCTCTGCCATTTGCTCTGGGTTCTTAATCGCCATTCTCTGCCTCAGGTTCCTCACCTGTAAAACCTCATGGGGTTGTGGTCAGGATTAATGAGTTCATGTGTAAAGCATCCAGGACCTGGCCTTAACCTTCTCTGGTTTATTACATATCAACTACTGATTTCTAGTGTGCTGCTCTATTAAGAATAGAAGTCTGGGCCGGGTGCGGTGGCTAACACCTGTGGTCCCAACACTTTGGGAGGCTGAGGCGGGTGGATCACACGAGGTCAAGAGATCGAGACCATCCTGGTCAACATGGTGAGACCCCGTCTCTACTAAAAATACAAAAATTAGCTGGGCATGGTGGCACATGCCTGTAGTCCAAGCTACTCAGTAGGCTGAGGCAGGAGAATTGCCTGAACCCAGAAGGCAGAGGTTGCAGTGAGCCGAGATCGCGCTATTGCACTCCAGCCTGGGTAACAAGAGTGAAACTCCGTCTCAAAAAAAAAAATATATATATATATAAAATATATATTTTATATATATAGAGAGATATATATATTTTATATATAGATATATATAAATTTATATATATCTATATAGAGAGATATATAAAATTTATATATTTATATATATATAATTTATATATTTATATATATATAATTTATAGATATATATATATCTAAGTAAGTTTTCCGCTAAAATCATTGCTCTGTCTTCAAGGAGTTCTCATGGTACATTTGAATATGTAGGGCTGACAATGGGTATCTTCTATTCATGATATTCATGTTTCTTAGAATTTGTCTGAAGATGGTTTGTCTCTGAGTGACTCAGGTTTAGTGCTGAGATTTGGAATCTTTTTAGGGTTACTGGCTCCCTCCTAGAATAGAGTGAAGCGAGGTTGCTGCAGGATGCCTTTAAGTTGATTTCAACTTAATGGTCACATTGGCAGCTATGAGCATTTGTCCAGTACATGCCAGGCATTTTACCGGTGCTGTAGCACAGTAACAGGACACACATATAAACGAGGCATGTATGGGGCTGCCCTTTAGAGTCTGCAGACTTGAGTTGGTGACAGACATAAATTAATCATTACTCCTCCTCGCGGTTGGTGAGCTGCTGGGGGAATGTCCCACTGCTGAGTGCGATTTTCTGGGCAGAGGAGGGAGCACAACCAACTCCCTGGGGAAGGCGACAAATGTCCTAGATGTGATGAACTAACATTAGGACATGCCATAAAGGAAGCCCTTTTTGACCCTCATCCATGTATGTGGGGGGCAAAGTGGGTGGCATGGAGCAGGAATGGGGTTTTGGTTATGTTGAGAGAGGTCTGTGTTTTCATTAGAGGTTCTTCTGTTGAACGGAAACTATGTGATTCCTGGTATATCTAGCTCCATGTAATTATTATCCACACTGTTAAAATGAGGTTCAAAAATGGAAACTTAAGAGTTTCCAGTTCATTCTGATTCATCATTTACCATTCTTAGGAAGGTATAAGCTCAGAACCTGAAATCTCCCCGAAAGCCACAAACTCTGTTTCTGACTCTTCATTATCTATATAAAGGATCTTCCATGGTAATGCTTCCTATTTTTCAAAGCACTGTTATCTACATTATCCTATTAGATCCTTTAAAGTGTTATATCGATCCCTTTTAATAGCAAGGAAACAGGTGCATCAAGATCAACGGACTTCTCTGTGTAAGTGGGACCTAAGGTACAAACCTCCTTGAAAAGCTTGACCCTGGATACACGTGGGGCTGAGCCAGCAGAGGCCAGAGCTATTGCTCTGCACAGACCACGAGAGGATGTCTCCCAGCCTTCAGGAAGGCGCTCAGCTCCGGGAAAGCAAACCCTCAACTTGCTCCTTTTCAATTGAGAGAATCTTAGGAATGGACGAGAAGAAAGACTGTGTTCCATTAGTGAAACCCTACTGGCCCTGGGCAGACACCTGCAGCTCCTCAGGGCAAGATGGTAACTTATGTCTATATGTCCCAAATCCTCCCAGTGGCATTTCATTCCCTAGCATGGTGGATCACCCAATACTAGAAGAAAGAGCTTCAAAATATGAAAATTACTTTTCAGCCTCAGAAAGACTGTATTTGAAAAGAGAGTTGAGTTGGTATAGAGGCCGAAGACCAAGAACTGCTTTTACTCAAAACCAGATTGAAGTGTTAGAAAATGTCTTTAGAGTAAACTGCTATCCTGGCATTGATATTAGAGAAGACTTAGCTCGAAAATTGAATCTAGAGGAAGACAGAATCCAGATTTGGTTCCAAAATCGGCGTGCAAAACTGAAAAGGTTCCCGTAGAAAATCACAGTTTCTAATGGCGAAAAAAAATTTCAACACAAATCTCCTGGAATAGATAGAAAACTAAACAAATGAAATTATCTTCTAATTGCAGAGCATGAAGAATCAGTGGAAATATTAATTGTTAAAATGTGATGTTTTCTTTCCTGCATTTAATCTGCATATTGTCATTTTTTTCTGAAAATATATTGTAAATAATTACTATTATAGCATGGTACATATTATATTTGGGTACTTTTATAGTAAAGAACTTTCCTATATATTTTAATAATCATTTTCAGAAAAGATTGCTATTTTTTAAGTGAGCAAAATTAACCTAATAAATTAATTTGTTAAAATCAATAGACTGATGACTAAGTGATTCCACAAGTTGAATTCTATTTGTAAAGTATTTCAAGTGAAATAATCTGAAGAGCAAAGATGTGAGTTGTTTCCATTAGTTTCCTCCATGTACATTTGGAACATGATTATGCTTAACTATATTATAGATTATGATTTATTGACGAATCTTCGACTTCTCTTGATTAATAGCATAAAGCAGTGAGAATTTCTCACCATCTATCAAAACAAATTCTTAGAGTGTTAGTTTCAAGTTTTTTTCAAGCAAAGTCATTATGCCAAAGTAGAAATATACAAGCATCAGCTATCATATTATATGCCATCGGTATTGAATTTCACAGAAGAATTAAGCAACAAACAAACAGAAAAAGAATTAAGCTACCAAAAAGATGCAAAATGTTAAATAGTTTTCTAATTTAATTTTGTACTTTCATTCAATAAAGTGATAGTGATCATCTAGCTTAAAAAAAAAAAAAGAAAGAAAAGCTTGACCCTGATTTTCCAGGTAGAGGATTTTGTTGATTGAACTCCATTAAGGAATGTCTTAGGTAATCAATTTATACCAATTAAAATGGCTACCATATGTGCCAGATGTCCCAGCAGAGCTGGGTGGGGTACCTTGCTGTTAATGCAAAAAAGAGATCTTTCCTCTTAGCAGATTGTGAGGTGGAATTCCTCCAGTGGCAGGGTGGCCAGGGGTAAAGATCACAGCTGAGATGCAGTAGTAGGTGGGAACCCGACTGGTTGCATTGTAACTACTTAGAATCAGAGTTCTGTTTGGCTAAGAAAATTTGGGGGTATTATGTGGAACAGTGAATCCTTTTCCAGGAGCTGGTAAATGCAATGAAAGGAATACCACAGAGACAACACACATATCAAACACATACTTTTGCCCAATGCACAGCCCAATTCTCATTCTAGCCACACTGCCCTGCCTTTAAAAAATTAAAAAGAAAAAGTTCACCATGGGCCAGGCACAGTGGCTCATGCCTATAATCCCAGCACTTTGGGAGGCTGAGGTGGGAGGATTGCTTGAGCCCAGGAGTTTGAGACCAACTTGGGCAACACAGTGAGACCTCTCTGCTACTACTAAAAAAAAAAAAAAAAAAAAAAAAATCGCAAGCGTGGTGTGACATGCCTGTAGTCAGCTACTCAGGAGGATGAGGCAGCTACTCAGGCGGCTGAGGCAGGAAGAGTGCCTGAGCCCTGGAGATCACATCACTGCACTCCAGCCTGGGCAACAGAGTGAGATTCTGTCCCCGCTCCCCACCTCTCCCTCCCAAAAGAGCAGTGATTCTAGTTTAGGTGGAGAGATGGGGGAAAATTTCAGGCTGGATATCCTGTAATTTTTTGTGTGAAACACCCAGGTAGTGGAACATCTAGGGTTGTAATCTCAAGGGCATCCTGCAATCATTTGCTTTTTTTCTCTTGAAAAGCAACTTTCACGTAATCTTTCCTTATAGCCAGTCTAAAGTAGCCCCCAAACACGACTTTGCTTTGTTCCGTGGTAACACTTATTGACATCTGGTATTTTCTTATTCATTCATTCATTTGCTTCTTTTTCCCCACCTCTTGCCACATACAAATTGCAAATGAGCTGGGACCTCGTCTGTCTTTATTGTTCAGTGCTGCATACCAGTGTCTCAAACAGAGGCTGCTCCATATAGTCCTTCACTATTGGTTTTTTCGATTAATGAACTTCTCTTGACATGATTTTCTGAATTTTGTTCTTTTATCTTAAGATTGGAAAGTTGAGAGCAGCATGTTTTGCCCACTGAAACTCATCCTGCTGCCAGTGTTACTGGGTAAGTAGAAGCCAAGGGATTGAGCAGGGTGTTGGATTTCTCCTAAGTTCTGTGCATTATTAAAAGCCAATTTTATATATTTTCAATTCCTCTGGGTTTGTTGAAGATAGAAACCCTAAGGTGGAACTTCACAGTTTTGCTAAGGCAACTGTTTTTGAAGCCAGCTAGCTTACGGTTTCCTGGGAAGCTGAATCTTCCCGTTTCCATTAGAAACTGAATGCCTTTGGGTCCTAAAGGGTGTTCTGGGACTCTCTTACGTAATAAAAGGAAAGTTTCTCTGTGGCATTCCTGCACTTTAAATTGTTATCTTTAAAACCACAGTTCGTCTTGGATCAGGAACTGAAATTACCAATGAGAGACAGAGAGCTGTTTTCATGCTAGTGCCACGCCAGCCTTCTTGCGCTTCCTCAAACACACTGAGCTCTTTCCGAATTTGTGGTGGTTTTCTTTGCCTGGGACTTTCCTCTTAACACTTCATCCCAGCAAGTCCGCCCAAGGCTTCCTTATCCTTCAGGTTTCCCCTTACACTCCACTTCCTTCTGAGGAGCCTGACCTGACCATCTCCTCTGAGCAGATTAGTCTCCCATTTACGCCTCCACCTAAGTGCTGCTTCTTGTTGTTCATCTCCATTGCTTTCTAAATTTTCATTCTTCTCCCTCAGGCCTTTTTCTTTATCCTATGGATGTAGTTCTGGAAGGAGAATAAATTAATCAGTGCTCTGCTCTTATAGCCTTTTATTTTTTTCTTTATTATTATTTTTTAAACTGTGGACAGTGATTTAAACCCTGACTCAGCAAAGTACACAACAGGGTTGCCTTTGCGCCTATTCCAGGAAATACAGAGTGTGCACAAACATGCACACATGCACACATACACACCAAAATGGTGTGCATTAGAGGATTTTTCTCAGAGAAGCAGGGTTGGCCGTGTGGTGACTCACGCCTATAATCCAGCACTTTGGGAGACTGAGGCAGGCTGATCATGAGGTCAGGAGATTGAGACCATCCTGGCTAACACAGTGAAACCCTGTATCTACTAAAAATATGAAATAAAATAGCTGGGTATGGTGGTACGCGCCTGTAGTCCCAGCTACTTGGGAGGCTGAGGCAGGAGAATTGCTTGCACCTGGGAGGCGGAGGTTGCAGTGAGCAGAGATCTTGCCACTGCACTCCAGGCTGGGTGACGGAGCGAGACTCCATCTAAAAAAAAAAAAGGAGCAGGGTTATAATGATCTCAGAAGGTATTTAGACATTTTCCCAGAGGTCTGTGGAGCAGCCTGCAGGTTTTTGCCCTTCGGGTGAGCTACCAGTCCAAGCCCTGTATGTGGTAGCTTGGTGCCACTGGGGGTTTTGTAGTTCTTTTGTGGGGTGGTTTTCCTTTCTTGCGGGAGAAAGTCATGTCTTCTTCAGCTGTTTCTCTCCTAAGATTACCCTTCAACCACCAGTTTCTCTTTGCTTTGGTTGCTGTTGTTGCTTCCTTGCAGTTCTTCATTTAATTCTACATAAAGTGTTCTTACTATTAAATTCGCTTATTACACTTTCAACCACATGTGGAGTTGCTCAATTCTTCCTTACAGGAAAATTCCAAATATTTGTTGGAGCTGATTTTGATTTCTTTCAAAATAATTCCCTCTGAAGGGTTTAGAGTTGATGTTTTCTTTTGTGTCCTCCCTGCTGTGTGAGCCTGCTGTTGGGCAGGAAGTTAACTCTCTTTTCTCAGGGAAACAGCTTGGATGAAAGACTGGCACATTTCCTGTTCATTCCCATCAGTTGGCTCTTCTCTGACAGGAACTGGGCAGCATCTAAATGTGTCTTTTTTGATTTTGTTATCTTTTTACATAGAGCATATCTTGTGAAAACAGAAATATCCATGTAATGGTTTTCTGTTGTAGTGACCTTTTGAAATTGCTTGAGCAACATAGAGATAATGGACAGGGGTCCCTGTGTCAAGCACCTAGAGGCTGGAAAGCTGATGGCAAAGCTGGAGGGTGAGGTAGGGAGAGGACAAACACAGTGCAAATGCAGGAAGAAAGCTGTGCTCTGTATTGGCCTAATTACAAGGACCTGCACTACAGCCAGAATCCGCCAGCAAATGCAGAGATAAGCTTTTGCAAAGAAACTAAAAGAAAGGGAAAAGAGGAAGTAAAGAAAAGATCTCTTTCCAGATAGGGAACCAGCTGGAGACTTAAGAGTAAGGAACATCCCATTTCCTGTTTGTGGTAAGTGGATGTGAGTGTCTAAATTGATATTCAGAAAAGAGAGACTTCCGGGTTTCCCTTCTTTCTTTAGGAAGGTTCCAGAAAAGCGGAAGGGACTAGATAGGAGTAGAGAGCCAGAGAGCATTTGTTGTAGTATGAAGATTGCAGAACCATTCTGATGAGTCATATAGGTAACTAGAGGACAGGAATGCCGTACTGCCTTTGAACATGGGGCCTCTGAGGGTTTTGTCAATGTTGCATCATCCAGGGAGAGGGGTGTTTAGTACCCCATGATTGAAACTGATTTTTGTTGTTGAGGGTATTTGTCTCAATGACATGTCCTCTGCCTTTGACTCTATAGATTATTCCTCAAGCCTGAATGACATGATCGTTTCCTCCCCTGAGCTAACAGTCCATGCGGGTGATTCAGCTCTGATGGGATGTGTTCTCCAGAGCACAGAAGACAAACGCATGATCAAGGTAGACTGGATGCTGTCATCAGGAGAGCACGCCAAGGTAACTCGGGGAAACATCGCTGTATAGTAGAGGCCCCTGACTGACGGTGTCAGGGCAGACATCAGGTGCTACCGGGAGGTGTTGCAAGGGTGGGGGTTAGAGCTTATCAGAACTGGGCCTCCTCCTAGCTCAGCCACTTGGCTATGTTATCAGCTGGGCAAGTAAGTTACTCAATCTTGCTGATCTTAGCCTCCTGAGCTGTGAAAAGGAAGGCAATTACAGTAATGGTAATGCTTACCTTTCAAGTAGTTAAGGGGCTAATGGGAGGTTAGCCCATTTCACACATGAAATGGGAGGTTCCTTGCTCTTGCACATGGAATTCTTTTAGTTTCCTTCCTTCATCTCTACCCTTTGTTGAGAGGGTGAGAGGGCTAAATTCCCGGGTTCTAGAAATGAGAGCTCTGACCTAGGCGTAAGAACTATACCACAGTGATCTTTTTTGAGGTGGGAAGGAGGACAGATTCTTTCAGTGTTTCGCTGCTCCATTGATGTAGTGGGGACTCATCTCCTTTGTGGCTGCTTAAAGTGTTGGGATTAGTAGATCCAGCATGGTTAGGTGAGGGTCTTTCCTGGAGCTCTTTGGAGTGGGGAACAGTGTATTAAGCATCATCAGAGAGTCTGTATAGACACTCGTATATCAGGATCATTTGTGAAAAACGTCCCAAGTAGTTTGTTACTAACATAAAGTCCCAATGTTTGCAAATAAAATATTGTTTTGGTAGCTCAGAGCATATTCCCTGTTGTCCCTATAATGCTACCTCTCACTCAAATTTTTATTGCCCTTTATTTTTATGAGAAGGATAGGCCCATGGTGTAAGTAAAAATAAGAATTTCTGCTGGGTGTGGTGGCTCACATGTGTCATCCCAGCACTTTGGGAGGCTGAGGCGGGTGGATCACTTGAGCTCAAGAGTTCGAGACCAGCCCGGGCAACATGGCAAAACCCATCTCTACAAAAACAAACAAACAAACAAACAAAAAAAAACCCACAAAAATTAGCTGGCTGTGGTGGCATGTACCTGTAGTTCCAGCTACTTGGGAGGCTGAGGTGGGAAGATCACCTGAGCCCAGGAGGTCGAGGCTGAAGTGAGCTATGATTGTGCCACTGTGGTCCAGCCCGGGCAACAGGAAAACAGGACAAAACCAAAACCAAAAACAAAAGATTCCCCAGGGTTCAGCCTGTGAGCATTCCCTGTGGATGACTCTTTCTTTTGTGTTACGATACTGCTGCCAGGAGGAGGGTAGAAATGAGAGGAATGGCAGCCAGCCGGCCATCTCTGGAATTCTCACACCAACACCACCCACGGCACTAGTGAAAATAGAGCATACATTTGAATGCCATCTAATCTGGGGCTGTGGCAGAAAATAGAGTGAAAATTCGAGATGGTTTTCAAAAGTTGTAAGTTTAAAATGGTAGAGTGATCTTCAGAGTGGGTGCTGTATTTTACCTTAAACTGTAAGAAATAAAATGTGGACCACATTTCTCCATTTGTCTTTGTAGAAAGTGAGTCGCAGAGCTTGTGCAAGTTAGACCGTTGCCTGGCACATTATTAACTGGGTACCAAGTGCTTTTGGATCATGATCATGATGCTGGCTCTGCTGCCTCCACGTAACAGAGCCTTTGGGGTCCAGGCTCCTCGGTCCGACACCTGTTTTGATTTTCTCCAACACTGTTTTGCCCTGTAGGATGAATACGTGCTGTACTATTACTCCAATCTCAGTGTGCCCACAGGGCGGTTCCAGAGCCGCGCACGCTTGGTGGGGGACGTCTCACGCCATGATGGTTCTCTCCTGCTCCAAGATGTGCAAGAGGCTGACCAGGGAACCTATACCTGCGAAATCCGCCTCGAAAAGCAGAGCCAGGTGTTCAAGAAGGCGGTGGTGCTGCACGTGCTCCCAGAGGAGCCCAAAGGTACGCAAATGCTTACTTAAAGAGGGCTTAGGGGCGAGAGATTTTACGTGCAGGTTGCAAGGAAACTGATTTTCTTGAGCAAATGCCTGCCTTTGGGCTAAGTACTTACCACAGACTGAGTCTTCAATAAATGATGATAATTATTTCAGTCGATAATAATGTTATTTTATTAAATAAAATATTAATAGTATTTTGTTATTACTTTAAGCATACTTTCTCCTTGCAAAAGCCCCGTGAAGGATGTTTTGTTCACATATGTGTCCAAATATGTTTTGGATATGTATTCATTAAATGGCATAACTAGTACTCGAACCCTGGTACCTCTGACAACAAAGTCCATTTTCTTTTTACTATGCCCTAATACCTTTCATCAGTTATCCACATTGATGCTACATCTGTATTTTATAGGTGCCCTATGTTAGGTGTTCTTGGGGGTATAAAAGAACAGAGCAGGCCAGGCACAGTGGCTCATGCCTGTAATTCTAGCATTTTGGGAGCCTGAGGCAGGAGGATTACTTGAGTCCAGGGGTTCAAGGCTGCAGTGAGCTATGATGGCACCACTGCATTCTAGCCTGGATGATGGAGCAAGAATCTATCTGAAAAGAAAAAACAAAAAGAAAGAAAAAGAAAAAGGCTGGGTGTGATGGCTCATGCCTGTAATCCTAGCACTTTGGGAGCCTGAGGTGGGAGGATCACTTGAGGCCAGTTTGAGACTAGCTTGGGCAACATGGCAAGACCCTGTGTCTACAAAACAAACAAACGAAAACGCTGGGCATGATGGCACACAACTGTGGTCTCAGGTACTGGGGAGACTGAGGTGAGAGGATCACTTGAGACCAGGTGGTGGAGGCTGCAGTGAGCTGTGATTGCATCACTGCGCTCCAGCCTGGGTGACAGAGCCAAGACCCTTTCTCAAGAAAGAAAGAAAGAAAGAGAGAGAGAAAGAAAGAGAGAAAAAGGAGTGCTGGGCAGGGCATCTCTGAAAAAAGGCATAAAAAAAAAAGAGGAAAAAAAGGAGTAGGTCTTTCTAACTCTTCCTTACACTTTATTTTCCCATTTTTAAGTGGAGGGAATGGCTTCAGTAGATGGGTGGTTTTAAAATTTGTGCTCTGTAGAACCTTAAGCTCCAAAGAACATGAAAGGTAAGAGCAGGGCAGGGGGTTGGTAGCAGACATGCCTGCCCAGATAGGACCCCAGGCTCCCACCTGTATCACAGCCAACGTCCTTTTCCTTTTTCCTGTTGTGTTCATTGTGCTGCCAGGTAAGATTTGGTGTGAATACGGATTCTTGTGCTTGCCAGCAGTTTGAAAGAGAGAGCATGAGCTGTGGTGGCCCGAGTCATTTAGAAAGTTTTTCTGCGGCTTTGACTGGGTATTAGTTGAAAGAAATGCAGCTGAGACTGTAACCAAAGGAGGCATTATGCTTCCAGAAAAATCTCCAAAGTACTGCAAGCAACTGCAGAAGCTGTTGTATTCGGCTCTAAGGGAAAGGGTGGGGAAATTCAACCAGTTAGCCTGAAAGCTGGAGATAAAATTCTTCCCCCAGAATCTACGATACGGAGGCACCAAAGTAGTTCTGGACGACAGGGGTCATTTCTTATTCAGAGATGGTGGCATTCTTGGAAAGTATATAGACCGAAATAAATCACTACTATAAGGGCCTCGTGTGAAGCTACTCATTCCACTGGAGTTCTGAAATCTTTCATCATGTAAAAGATTTCCCTGTCTCTCTTTTATACTAAACTAATGATATTCAAACTAACACTAGTCAGTGTCTCTAAAATTTAGTTTTGCTTATTGATATAAACACTTACAAATAAAAATACGTAAATGGAAGTAAAGGTTTGCAAGCCACAGAACTAGAAGCTTTCTTTGAGAGTGTGGAATAGAAGGAACAGTCTATGACCCCGGAAAAGCTTGCAATGTAGTTAGGGAACTAGAATCTGGGGCCATTTCCTGCCTGCAGCTAGCTTAGGTCCTTAGCATCCAGCTTTATTAATGAGCTCCTCTGGTGCACCCTCCTTTCCTCTCTTATGACACTCATCATATCCATTCATTTGTGTCTTCCCTTCTTGCCTGGCATAGCCCCTGACACAGAGTAAGCAATTAATAAACATTTGTGGAATGAATAAAATTAGAGTTAGCCTCCCTTGCTTGAATCTGATTTCTAAAAAATGGAGTTGTAGGAGGTAGCCTCTGGCCCCTCTCCTAGTTATCCTGCTTTTTTTCGTCGCCATTTTTCTCTTAATTTCAAAGCTCTGGTTCTCCAGGAAGAAGATGCAAATCAGATGCCTGCGCCAAAGGATTCTCATTCTCTCTCTCTCTCTGTCTCTCTGTCTCTCTCTGTCTCTCTCTCTCTCTCTCTCTCTCTTTCTCTCTCTCTCCCTCTTTTTTAGGTAGAGTCTTGCTCTGTCACCCAGGCTCTGGAATACAGTGGTGTGATCATGGCTTACTGTAGCCTTGAACTCCAGAGCTCAAGTGATTCTCCTGCCTCAACCTCTTGAGTAGCTAGGCCCACAAGTGTGCATCGCCATGCCCAGCTTCTTTTTTGTTTGTTTGTTTTTTTAAGTAGAGGCAGGGTCTTCCTACATTGCCCAGGCCAATCTCAAACCCCTGGATGCAAGTGATCCTCCTGTCTCAGCCTCCCAGAATTGCTGGGATTGCAAAGGATTCTCTTTTTGCTTCCTTTTTCTGCCTTTGGTCTCTAATGCCATACCTGAACACTTGTCCATACTGGCCTTTTTCTGCTTAGAAGAGACACAGAGGGAACCACAAGGAGTCAACTTCAAGAGCTGAGGAATCCATGGAAATAGGCTAGGGCAATGTGAGAGGTAGTCAGATATTCCCCGGTGGCTAGTGGAGCAAGCCACTAGGGAAATGTTTTTTTTTTTTTTTTTCCTTCCAGCCAGAATGGGAATAGATCCCACCCCTAACAATTTTGCCTAGTGAAAAGTGCTCCAACTTGCTGTACGTAAGTTGCCTTCATCGATGTGGAAACTCCATTTTTTGCAGTCATCTATAACTTTTTCCACAAAGTTTACCCTTCAGTTGACAATCTCTCTGTGATTCTGCCATTTCAATTATTTTTTTATAGTTCTTAATTTACATAGTATAGATACAAATAGTAATAACATTAATGTCCTGTATTTTTGCTCTAGAATCAGCCACCCTTCTACTTACATGGGGTACCACAGTAGAGTGAGTGAGAAAACTCAGGCTTTGTTTTCACTTATGCCTGGGCTTAAATGTTGGCTTTACCTTTTACTGGCCATGTGGTATTGGGCTCCTTTACTTTCCTTCTCTGTAAAATGGGAGAGTAATCATGCAAACCTCAAAATATTGTAATGACTAACTGATCTGCCGTGTAAAGGGTGTCTGGCACATGGCTGGTGCATTGAAAGGCCTCAGAATGTTCACTTGTTATTATCGCATTTAAAAAATAGAGTTTAGTTCTTAATGTGCTTGTAGATTTAAAGGGAGGTTCCTTCCTTACTGGTATTCTTTGGAGTAAATTTTTTATCGCTTTCAAAATAATTCCTTCCATAGAGTTTAGAGTTCATAATATTTTCTTTTTCTTTCCTCCTATTGTGCATTTCTCCTGCTGGGCAGGAAGTTACTGTTCTCCCAGGGAAACAATTTGGATGAAAAGTTGGCTTATGTACTCTGTTCCTTCATGAGCTTTGCTTAATGCTCTTTTGAAGGCACTCCGTGCACTTAAAACTTAGGCTTGTGTCTTCTTAATACACCACCCTGCCTTTCTTGGCTTAATCAACTTTGTGGCTGATTTGTATACAGCATTACAGAAAAATCAGAAACGTCTGTCTACTTCTTTTTTTTTCATGGGCCTCTTAAAATGACTTATGTCATAAACCTATGGTGGGTCAGCTGCTCGTACAATAGGCAGAAGGAAGAGCCTAGGAATTGGAAAGCCAGAAGCAGGGGAAGGGGGTCAAGTGGGGAGGGTGGGAGCAGGAGAGAGCGGGATTTAAACAGAAAGAAAAGTCAAGGAGAAAGCTCTTTTGTCTTGACCTAATTAGCAAGGAGTCCTGTGACTTGTACTGAGGCCAGAACTAAGTCCTAGAATAAAAGAAAAATAACAGAAGAAGTTGAAGAAAGTTATCCATGGTTCATTTTTGGTAGAGCCCATGGGTTAAATATAAGAATGAGAGTTCTATAACTTTCTACTTCCTGTTTATGCTAAGCAGATGATGTATCTAAGATGAAGAGCACAAAGTGGGGGCTTTGAGATTCTCCATACTTCCTTTAGTACAAACTCGATGTGGAATTAGAGTTCATGGAAGGAATTCTGGAATAGGGGAAAGAGAAAGGAATTAAAGAGGACCAAAAAGTGTTTATTGAAATATGGAGACAGCAGAAACCCTCGGGCTTGGTACATGTGGGCAGTTAGAAGGTATTCTCATTTTGGGGACAATGCTGGCTGGTCTGAGGGAGGGGTCTCTGAGTACTTTGCCTAAGTGGAATCATCTGGATCACCTACAGAGGGAATATGGATAGTGTTTGGTGGTGACAGTGATTTTTGCTGCTGAGGGTCTTTGCCTAAACATGATCTCTTCTAGAAATTCTTTGATTTCTATAGATTATAACTTGTGTCTGACTTGATGTACTGTTTTATCCTCAGAGTTCATGGTCCGTGTGGGTGAATTGACTAAGATGAGATGTGTTTTCCAGAGCACAGAAGAAAAGCACATGACCAAGGTAGAATGGATGTTTTCAGGACAGCGTGCCAAGGTAACATGGAGGAAACATCACCTGTGTTATAGAAGGCTCTGGCTGATGGTGTTAGGACAGACGCAGACTCAGGCACTTGAGGAGGTGTTGCAAGAGCCTAGGGTTTGGGGCTTGTCAGAACTGGACCTTCTCCTAGCAATTTCAGCTTTCTCATGGGAAAGTTAACTCCAATGAAGAAGAAGGAGAAGGAGAAGGAGAAGAGGAGGAAGTTTTTGATGATGATGCTTAACTTAGATGCTGATATGAGATTGTACATGTAAAGCATTTTGTACATGACTTGGCCACTGCATTTTCCTTTTCTTCTTCCTCCATTTTCCTTTTTATAGAGGCCGTGGGAGAATGAGGGAGATGACTTTTGTGGCCCAGCAAGGAAAGCAATGGGCTAGGCATTAAAGTGATTACACTTTTCTTCTTACTGGGGTTAGTTCTGTGAGTTTTCATCTGTGCTTCATTGCCCCATTTATTGATGGAGGGACTTTTGATCGGTACTTCGCATGTTGGGATTGATCAATCCTGGGGGCCAGAGTGAGGGGTATTTCATGGGAACTCTATAAAGCAGTGAACAGCAAGTTCGTTCATTAGACCAGTAGATCTCAACCATGATGTGGTCATATATTTATGGCTCAATATGTGTCGTGGGGATATCCCAAGTAACTTGTTACTAATAAAAGTTAAGGTATAAAATTTATTAAAGACTAACTTTTATAAATTAAAACATATCCCAGGTCATCTCTCTAAGAAAGTCATTTGCACTCACTTGATTCCTCTGTGGTATCTGAGTGGGTCACAGTGGGTGACATCATGGTGGAGTATGGGGAACTACATGTGGTCCCAGGTTCACTTCTGAGAGCTTGTTGTGCATGTAAATGTCATCCAGTGAGTAATTCACAGGAGAAAATAGGATGAGAGTTGACATTTTAAGGTTGTGAATTTGAATCACGAGAGACAAAATGTTGGGGGCCAGGTCACTTCATTCATGTTTGGGTCTACACACTCATTACCTTTTCTTAAAAGCTATAAAAAAGCAATCTACATGTCTTGAACATTTAACAAGTTATTTTTAAAGCATTTGCTATATGATGAATACTCAAAGCCTCTGTCCTGATGGGAAGCTGCCAACCAAGGTGGAGGGGGATACACAGTAAAACAATAAAGCAGCATGTCATATGTCAGGCAACAGTGAGAGCCTATGGGGAACGACAAAGCATGGTTTTCTGGTTTTTATTATATGTGCACTCGGGGAGGCCTCACCGAGATGACACTTCTGCAGAGGTGTGAAGGAAGTGAGGAAGTGAACCTTGCATATGTCTGGTGGGGAAGAGTGTTCTTGCAGTCATAGACAGTAGCAAGTGCAAAGGCCCTGAGGTCAGTATGCAAGGAGCAGCCGAGAGCTCCATGTAGCTCAAGTGAAGAGACCCAAGTAGGTGAGGGAAGAGCAACTAGAATTGAAGTCAGAGAGGAAAAGGGAGATGGGCTGGGTCATGCAGGGCCTTACATTTCAGTAGAAATGAGAGCGGGGCGGTGAAGGGTTTGAGCACAGGAGTAACATGAGTTAACTTACATTTTTAAAGGCTCACCTGCTGAAAATAGATTGTCGTAGAGAATAAGCAGGGAGACAAGTAAGAAAGCTGTTGCAGGAGTCCAGGTGAGAGATGGGCTGGACCGGAATGGCTTCAGGGGAAGTGGTGGGACCGGCTGCATTGGGAATGTATTTTGAAGGCAGAGGTGATAGGATTTGCTGAGGGATTAGGTGTGAGTTGTTCCAGAAAGAGAGGAATTAAGAATGACTCCAAGATTGTTAGCCTGAGTATCTGGTAGAAGGCATTGCCACGTACCGAAATGGGGCAGACTGGAAAGAACTGGTTTGGGGGAAAAATGAGGAGTTCAGTTTTAGACGAGTTTCAGGTTCCTGTTGGAAATCCAACTAGAAGTGTCATCAAGAATAAAGTATACTGCTTTGCTTATTGAAAAAGTACACAAAATGAAAGTCCTCCTTTTCACATCCCTCTGTTCAGATGGAAAAACTGTTCACGGTTTGGTGATGTCCTTCACAAGTAAACACACGTGTATACATGACTGTGTTATTAATGCTTTCTGATAATACCCTTACTGCCTTCCCCAGCAGGGCCTGGGAGTCCTCAGATCTTTCCCTCCCTCATCTTCCCTCCTTCCTCCTCCCCTCCAGTCCTCACAAGCTCATACTTTTTCCCTTTCCCTTCTAGGAGGAGATTGTGTTACGCTACTCCCACAAACTCGGGATGACTAGGGCGTACTCCCAGAGCTGGGGCCACTTCCAGAATCGTGTGGAACTGGTTGGGGACCTTTTCCACAATGATGGTTCCATCATGCTTCAAGGAGTGAGGGGGTCTGATGGAGGAAACTACACCTGCAGTATCTACCTAGGGGACCTGGTGTTCAAGAAAACCATCGTGCTGCATGTGAACCCGGAACAGCCTCGAAGTATCTAACATTTGGCTGGGGAGCGCTGAGGGACCTCCTGGCTGGTGCATGGGGCCAGGACTAGAGCGAGACCAGCGAGGCTCCTAGGATGCAAACTGAAGGAGGCATCCCTCTCAGGTGCCGACTCTGGCCTTGCACAACCCTGAGAATGATTCCTCCTTAGAGGTGGCTCCTCAGGTACCTGACTTGCCTCACCCTAGTTCTGGCCCTGCTTCTAGGTCAAGGAGAGGGGAGCTAATGTAGTGAATACCAACCCTCTGCCAGACCCCCGTCATTGCCAGGGTCATTTACTGATGTAGACACAGGAGCTCAGGGAAGGATCGGAGTTGATGTCCAAAGTCAGCATACTTGGCTGCATGGGAAAGCAAGTGTGGTATGCTCTATAGTGGAGCAGGAAACGACCTTAAGCTGGTGAGAGACAGCCAGGAACAGAGAGAAACAGGAAGGCACCAGAACTAAAAATGGTGGGGGGGTTCTGATCAGAGGTTCTGGATTCTGGCAAACAGTGTGCATCAAGGCCAGAGGCGTGTAGGAGAGGAAAGACTCGACTGTGTTGACAGAGAGAGGTTGATAAGTGAGGGGTTAAAGTTAAACCATAACGCGTTAGCAGTCAGGATGTGGCCTGTGGACTTTGTCTCTTGCTGGGGCCTTCGGGAGTTGGCTGTGGTTGGTTGGGGGAGGGGAAGATGGGTGAGAATGGAACATACCTCATACCTCAGCCCAGAGACTTAAGTCTGTGGAGGCACCTTGTCTCCAGCTGGAGAGGGGAGCAGGGCAGATGGGCTTCTTCTTCTTCTTTTTTTTTTTTTGAGACGGAGTTTCACTCTTGTTAACCAGGCTGGAGTGCAATGGTACAATCTCGGCTCACCGCAACCTCCGCCTCCTGGGTTCAGGCAATTCTCCTGCCTCAGCCTCCCGAGTAGCTGGGACTACAGGCGCGCGCCACCATGCCCAGCTAATTTTTGTATTTTTAGTAGAGACAGGGTTTCATCTTCTTGACTAAGATGGTCTCGATCTCTTGACCTCATGATCCACCCGCCTCGGCCTCCCAAAGTGCTGGGATTATAGGCGTGAGCCACGGCTCCTGGCCCAGTTGGGCTTCTTAAAGAATCATCATCTCTCTGTGTGCTTCATTCTCAGAAGTCCAATTCACAGAGAAAATATGAGCCATTATGGGGGCTCACGCAGCTTCTCCACCCACAAACATATCTGTCTCCATTCTTATCTCTGCCCTGACATCTGGAGTCAGAGGAGGGTCCCTTCTGCTCTGGGCTTATCTGGCCCCCTGTGCCCAGGTGGCCTCCTTCTCAGGAGCCTTACGGCGTGGCTCTTGGAGCTCTCACTTGCTGTTGGTTTCTACCATTCAACAGGAACATTGGCTCAATTCTGCCACTTACCTACTTCAGCTCCATTCTATGTCTTCCTTTTCCTAAAGACCGCTTTCCTGAGATACAATTCATGTACTATACAATTTGCCCATTTAGAGCGTTCAGCTCAATGGTTTTAATACATTCAGAGCCGTATAACCACCATCGCAATCACGTATTTCTTTCTCAGCACAGCCAAATCGTTGCTAAAAAGGCCTGTGTTTGGTGTCTCACTGTCTCATCTCCCACTAACTCCTCAGGGCACTGCATTCTGGCTTCTTTTACCTCTACTCCAGCTTAGCTCACCAATGGCTCTCCCACTATCCATCCTCAGCCTTCTGAACCTCAGTAGCATTGAACACTATATTCCATATGCATTCTATGTTGGACACAATCCCACACATACCCACGCATATATCCAGTCAACTCTACACAAGTTTCCCACAAATCCTTCAAATGCAAAATGTCTAAACCTACCCCTACACACCCTCCTTAGCCCATCTCCCCAACCTCAGTTGTCTAACTAGATGCCTGGGGTGTGCTTGACTCTTTCTCTTTCCCAGACCCGTCATCTAAGAGGTCAACAAGTCCTTGACTCGTACTACAGACTCTTGAAGTTGACTTCCTTCCCATCTGTCACTGCTGCCGTAGATCTGGCTGTCTTTATCTCTGTCTTAAACCAGTCTCTGCTTTCACTCTTAGCCACTGCTCCTCATTTTTCATATGGCTCTTGGTGGCATCTTTCTAAATCACATTCAGAACTTTCTCTCCCACTGCTTATAATCTTTCAGTGGTTTTTCCATCACCTGCAGAAAAATGCAAGATTCCTGGTTGAGATAGTCAGGATCCTTCCTGACTTGGACCCTGTCATCTCTCGAGGACACCCACAGGTGCCACCTTTGTGCCAGACCCATTGAACTGTCCCAAATTTCTAAAGCCACCATTCTGTCAGGCCTCCACATCTCATGCAGAACATCCCCTCTGCATGGGGAGCAGGCATATGGGTTTCTTAAAGAACCATCATCTCACCGAGGCGGGTGGATAACGAGGTCAAGAGATCGACACCATCCTGGTCAACATGGTGAAACCCCGTCTCTACTAAAAAGATACAAAAAGTTAGCTGGGCATGGTGGTGCGTGCCTGTAACCCCAGCTACTCAGGAGGCTGAGGCAGGAGAATTGCCTGAACCCAGGAGGCGGAGGTTGCGGTGAGCCGAGATTGCGCCATTGCACTCCAGCCTGGGTAACAACAGCAAAACTCCGCCTCAAAAAAAAAAAGAACCATCATCTCTTGGTGCGCTTCATTCTCAGAAGTCCAATTCACAGAGAAAATACGAGTCCTTCCCCATACTGGGTATGTCTGCCCAACAAACTGGACATTTCCTATAAGTCTTGGGTTAAATGTTGAACTTTTGCTGGCAAATTCTCATTTGCTGCGCATAGAATTGGGCACTCTTTTTTCTGTGCCCCTCTGTTCCCCATGCAGACTTCTCCTGTAGCACCTAGAGCGGTGTGTGGTTTTCTGTTGACGTGTTTGTCTCCTTCCTTGGAAGCAGGGACCACACATCATTTGTCTCTGAATCGCCTGTACCTAGTGCTGTCTGGCACTGAGGAGGCGTTCGCTTTACGTATTTAGCAAGAACCGAGCAGATGAGTAGAAAGTACCGTATGGGCAGAAGTTCCTCCAAAGGCTTTACTTGGTATCGTCACAGTGGGGCTGAGTCTTGCAGCGTGTTCTTTTGAAAGCAATTACTTGCCCTTAGGAAGACCAGCAGCCTCTAAGATGCCTGTTATTTCTCAGTCACTTGATAAGCCAAATTTTAGAATAGAATTGTTGATGTGAAAGGAAACTTTACTACAGGTGAAGTGCCAGCCTCTTCTCCCACCCACCTTAATCTGCATTTTAGGGTACACAAGGGGGTTAGACTTTGGTTCTCAATCTCATGGAGACAGCGTCCCCATTGTCCAGATATGGGGTAGAGTCTGCTCTTCCCCTCCATGTCCTGGCCTGGCTGGTGCTGGTGCTATGTGGTATAGGGCTGTGGGGCTCTCAGCTCTCTGCTAAGGTATTGAGACCTTCTCCTTGTTTTTCTCCTTTCCCAAGCACTGGTGACCCCGACAGCCCTGAGGCCTGTGGTCCTGGGTGGTAATCAGCTGGTGATCATCGTGGGGATTGTCTGCACCACAATCGTGCTGCTCCCTGTTCTGATATTGATCGTGAAAAGGACCTGTAGGAATAAGAGGTACAGGGCTGCCCCCATCCCTTGGGTTGGGAGGCTGGGGGTGCAGGGCTGCCTCTACCCCAAAGTGGAAGAGGGTGATAGGGCCCTACCTATGCCATTCTCACAGAAGGTGGAATTTTGAAATGGAATCATCTGTGGTTGTCAAATCAGATGTCATCATATAGTAACCCTGCCCGCTTTGCTCACTGTGCCCCTGAAAAGACTTGGCTGTTCCTATGCTATCCTCATTCACTTTGGTATTATGTAAAGACTACAAACTCCCTTAGAAATGGGGGTCTTAGTAGGGCATAATTCAGAGTATAAATCTTACGCAAGTACTATCGTGGTACCATTCACTACCGAAGAGAAATGATTTTTAAGTTATCCACACTGTATGTTCTGCATAGAAGCTAAGATCTTGAGGGTTGCCAGTGGTTTTATCTAAAAGACCGCATTCTAATTCTGAGACGTGATTTTTGAATGGGCGCCTTCAGGTTCTGAGTGAATTATTGCTAAAATGGGCTTTTCAAGGCCTGAATTTCATCAGTAGTTCTCCCAGAGTTTCAGAAGTGCCCAGATGCTCCGACAGGGATATTAGTGTGGCACTGGCTGTTGGCAGATCCGTGTCCATCAGTTTATCCAACTATCAATGGAATACATTAGTAGCGCAGATTGACTCATTAAAATAGTATCAGTGGGAAAGGGCCTCATGGATAATCCTGACTTTCGAGTGTTCTTTCCCAGCGGGTCATGGATCCTGCAGAAAAACACTTGTGCCTGCTGGGCTTTCACTTCCACTCCCTAGGGCTTTCGGATTTGATTTTGAACTTGGCTGCCTCTCTGAAGGTCTTTGCTCTGGGCATGCTCATAGGACTGAGCTAGACAACCTGGGTTCCACTCTCAGCTTACTTCCCCTGTCTGGGTCTCAGTTTCCCTCCAAAGGAAGGGTAGTACTTCCATGTCTAGTTGTTTGTTCTAAAGAAATAATTAGATGGATATGCCGAGATTGGTGCAAAAACTGCAGTCTTGCTTATAATTAACAGTAGGGATCATTGCCAGTGTCTGTCAGAAAGGTAATGATTCAGGGAACCAGCCTTTCACTCAATGAAACACTGCAGACCCCTCTACGTAATGACATGGAAAGATATCCAAGGCATAATAATATAGAATTTATGGTATGATCTCACTTTTATAAAGGAGAAAATAATATGACGCTCACTCCAGCAGCATATGTAGTAAATACATTTTATGTGAGCTTCTGCTTACACTGAGAGAGGCTTGGAAGGATAGTCATAAAATCTGTCCTTTTCAGGACTTAGGGAGTTTTCAGGAGTTAAGGTGTGGTGTTTGAGATGAAGGAGAAGGTGGATCCCATGGCGTGAGGGGTTGCAGGGAACTTCTACTTCCAACTGTCTACGTTTCTGTATTATCTGAATTATTTTACAATGAGAAGATACAACTTTAAAATCAGAAGATACAATTAAAATATTTCCACTGAGACCAAAAAATATGGTTTATTTTCTAGCTTAAACCTTGAGATATATATATATCAGCTCTGCCTTAGGCCAAAATAGAAAAAAAGAAAGTATATTCAGAAAGCAAATGGTCATGAGATCAAAGGCCAAGGGGCCCCCAACAGGACAAGCTCAGAGCTCCTAGCTTGGGGTTTGGCGGGGTGGGCTCTGCCCCGAGAGGCCAGGAGCCCTTCGGACTGGCGTCTTGCTGAGCTCCTGCTGCCCCCTGCTGGCTCCGCTGCACTCCCCGGTCCTCAGAAATGCAGAGAGGATGGTCAGGTGGAATCCCATGGCCCCTCTCTCTTCATTCACTTAAAATTGCATTCCAGCCGCAGCAACAAGAGCAAAACTTCGTGTCAAAAAAAAAAAAAAAAAAAAAAAAGGCCAGGCGCGATGGCTCACACTTGCAATCCCAGCACTTTGAGAGAATGAGCAGGGCGAATCACCTGAAATAAGGAGTTCAGGACCAGCCTGGCCAACATGGTAAAACCTTAACTCTATTACAAATACAAAAATTGGCCAGGTGTGGTGGTACATGCCTGTGGTCCCAGCTACTCAGGAGGCTGAGGCAGAGAATTGCTTGAACCTTGGAGGTGGAGGTTACATTGACCCGAGATTGCACCACTGCACAGAGTGAGATGGTCTCAAACAAAAACAAAAACAGGCTACAGACTGGTACTGATCCGTGGCCGGGAGGCTTGGGGACCCCAGCTGTAGACAGTATGTAATGATCAAATCAGGGGAACTCAGTCATCACCTCAAATATTTATCTTTTTTGGGGGGAACACGAAAATCCTTCTCTTCTAGGTATCTTGAGATGTTCAAAGAAATTCTCATTCACTGTTAAAAAAAAAAAAATTACATCTCCCATAGGGCAGAAAGTGGTTTGAGTGATAATAGAGAAGTTGAAGCTGTTTTTCAGCCCAAATTATCTCCAGAATGGCTTCTCGTTCTTCATTAGAAGAGATGCTCTGGCCGGGCCTCGTGGCTCACGCCTGTAATCCCAGCAGTTTGGGAGGCTGAGGCGGGCAGATCACGAGGTCAGGAGGTAGAGACCATTCCTACACAACATGGTCTACTAAAACTACAAACATCAGCTTAGTGTGATGGCGCGTGCCTGTAATCCCAGCTACTTGGGAGGCTGAGGCACGAGAATGGCTTGAACCCAGGAGGCGGAGGTTGCAGTGAGCTGAGATCGCACCATAGCACTCCAGCCTGGTGACAGAGCGAGACTCCATCTCACAAAAAAAAAAAAAAAAAAGAAAATGCAGTTCTCAGGTTTCTAGGTGAGCCGGGTAGCCCTGGCTGTAGGAGTCCAGAGAGACAATCAGGGGTCTCCTATAGGAACCTTTGGAAAAACCGTGCAAGCTGGTTAATTTCACATGCTTTTCATGCCTTGCAGTTCGGTGAATTCTACAGTCTTGGTGAAGAACACGAAGGAGACTAATCCAGAGATGAAAGAAGAACCCCGCTATTTTGTCCGCTATGAAGGGGAGGTGAGCACACACTTCAGCCTAAAACACTAAGTAGGTGCAGGCCTGGGCCGTGAACATTCCCTGGGAACCGTGTCTTGCCCACTGTATGTTGCAGCTCGCAGGCCAGTACCTGGCACAGAGCAGGGAGTCAGGAAGCCTTTGTCACTAGAATCAGAGCCTCTGAAGACTAGAGTGCGTGGGGGGCGGGGGTGGGCTGGGCCAGCCCCGGGCAGCAGATCCTGGTATTGGGCTGAGGAAAGAGCACTGCGCTTGGAGTCAGAAAGCTCTGCCACACCCCGAGTCTCATCAGCAAAATGAGGATAAGGATAAAGATATTATAGTTGCCCAGCCTGCTTGACAGGGTTGGTGTAAGGCTCACATAAGATGATGATATGCAAATGCTTTGTAATCTAGGAGGTGCTATTTGTCTAAGGTCTAATGGAGAATTAGAATACATTCAGGAGTTAAGGGGTTTTAATGCTTAAAATGAAATCGTCTAAGACCTTTGGCAAGAAAGGATTAAGGACTTTTTCCTCCACATTGATTTGTAGTAGAGTTATAAATAATTGCTTCTAGAGACTGAGAAATGGATTGGTTTTCTTTAACTCCTGTTCTCCTTTCTTTAATTAAAAAAAAAAAAAAGCTTTTTGAATAGTTACCTTTCTCTATTTTGGGCTGTTTTTGTCCCGAGAGTAGGATTTTTCTCTCGATAGAGTGCAGGGGCCCCCAGAAGTCCAAGAATGGGTCACTGGTGATGATACTGCATTCCCATGAGTGACAGGACCATGAACCTCGAAGTTGTGAGGCTCAATGAGGGCTGGCCCTGCCACACAAACCCTCTGAGGGAGACAATGACAATTCACTGCTGATTAATGCCATTCTGCCTTTATTGTAATTAGAAGGAAATAACCACAGAATACAAGGAATTTAGCAAGATAAGAAACCCCTGCTGCTGGAGAAGAAAAGCAAAGCACACTGCCATGTGTGTACCTACGCAACTGTCTTGCATGCTCTGCTCATGTACCCCAAAACCTAAAATCCAATAAAAAATTAAAAAAAGAAAAAAAAGAAAAAAAAAGAAACCCCTGCTGCTACCTAAACATCCATCTAAACAAAGATGTTTGGCTTTTGAGGCAAAGAGTTTGATTCTTAAGACTGTGTTCTTTGGCAGTTAATTTTCAAGAAGACTGAAGACTGAATTAACATTTTTGAGAATTCTCCAGCTCTCAGTAACCCTTTGAACCTACCAATTTGGGTAGTCAATCCCCAGCAAATAGGAGTGGGTGGCCTTTACTCTGGAGCATAAGAGTCATCTAATTTTTAGGAATTTTTGTACCGTTTTCCCCTCTAGAAAAACATTTACTCCTCAATAACTACTCGGGAGGTGACTGAGGAAGAAAAACCAAGTGAAAACTCAGAGTCCGCCTACATGACCATGGTGAGAATGATTCCGGCCCCAGCTGAGCCAGGTGTCGGAGGCTCAGGTGGAGATGGTGGTGGGCGTGGCTGGGTGGTCCTGGGAGGCTGCTGAGGGCAGAGATTTTTCTAAGAAGCAGGAAGGTCTGAGGAACTGAAGTTCTGCTCGATAGAAGAGTAATATCAAACTTTTTTACCCAGTCTCAAGGATTAAAGGTCATCACCAGAGGTTATTTATGTTGGTGGTGAAAAGAAGTGAGGAGTGACCTTTACTGGGGGTGGGGAGAATGCCTTCTGCCTCATCAGTTCAACCTAATAAAGAAAATATGGCCGGGTGTGGTGGCTCATGCCTGTAATCCCAGCACTTTGGGAGGGCCAGGTGGGTGGATTGCTTGAGGCCAGTTCAAGACAGCCTGGCCAATGTAGCAAAACCCCCCTCTACTAAAAATATAAAAATTAGCCAGGTGTGAGGATGTGTGCCTGTAATCCCAGCTACTTGGAAGGCTGAGGCATGAGAATTGCTCGAACCTGGGAGGTGGAGGTTACATGGGCCGAGATCGCACTGCTATAGTCCAGCCTGGATGACGGAGTGAGACTGTCTCAAAAAAAAAAAAAAAAAAAAAAAAAAGCCAGGTGCAGTGGCTCACGTCTGTTATCCTAGCACTTTGGGAGGCTGAGGCAGGCAGATCACTTGAGGTCAGGAGTTTGACCAGCCTGGTCAACATGGTGAAACCCCGTCTCTACTAAAAATACAAAGACTTAGCTGGGCATGGTGGTGGGCACCTGTAATCCCAGCTACTTGGGAGGCTGAGGCAAGAGAATTGCTTGAACCAGGAGGTGAAGGTGGCAGTGAGCTGAGACTGCACCACTGCACTCCTGAGAAAGAAAATAGGATAAGACCCTCGGGCAAGTATTGGGTTGCAATAAATTGCTTTCTTCCCATTAAAAGGTCAAAGTAGGGTTCCTTCTAATGCCTAGGTTTGTTTTTTTTTAACTTTGTGACTTATCATACCTTCTCATAAGCTAACTGCCAGGCGGGCTACATGCAAATGAAGCCCGCCTGGATCTCCTACAATATTTTGGAGTCTGATTTCTCCTTTCCCTGTGCTTAGACGTCTGTAGCCCTCTAGGGAACTATAGCACCTAGAAACGGCACCTCGGGGCATGCAGTGAGTAGGGGTAGGGACAAAAGGAGTGAGCTGGCAAAGAGCACTGTGCTATTTGTAGACTAATTATAGGCACCCAGCCCATTAAGGAGCAGTGTTCTGCTGAGTTCGGGAAGGCTGGCCTCCTCTGCTTGTGGAATGATGGGCTTTGTTTGTTCATGTGGCACCAGCCCTGAGGACACATGACTCCCAGCTGATTCCTGCAGAGAAACGTCTGCCAGGGAAGTGTGAGATCAGAGGCCTGGCTTGGATCCACCGAGTGAAACATTAACTCCACTCTGAAGTTGCAGCTGAATGGAGTCATTTTCCCCCTGTATCTTCCTCCCATTATTGTTATATGATGCTGCAGTAACTTGCCAGGCCTCATCCTGGCTCCTGGAGACCTGCTGATGCAGCTGCCTTGTGGCTACTGCTGAGTGGGTCACCAGCCAGGGTGGCACTGTTTGCAGAAAGTCTCCGAGGTGGAGATGATGCAGGAAGAACGATTGTCGTCACAGTTACCTCCCCCAGGTTTAAAGCTAGGCAATTATGGTTTGGATTTTGTGGAAAACCCCACTCCTGTCCTCTTGAACCAGATCCAACAGAGTAAGAGGTGCAAACGCAAAGGCCGGCAGGGGCTGGTCAGGTTATTTTAAAATATGATGTGCCAAGTTAAATAAACCTGCTGGTGAATTTGGGACTGCAGGCCACTTGTTTGAGACTTCATTTGCAAAGGCGTTCTCTGATAGGGAGCAGGAATAACAAAGAGCCTTTGTTTTCTGTTGTTGAGTTGATGGAATTCATGTAACTGTAGTGGTACGTTGCTGGGTTCCCTTTCTGAGGCCGTACACAGTGGTTCAAATAACAAGCTGTGGAGTTGGACAGAGCTGGGTCCAAATTCAGACTCTGATGCAGCCAGATGGTCGTGGGCAGGTAACTTGGCCTGTCTGAGCCTCAGTTTCCTTATCCTTAGAATGGGAATAATAAAACCTACCTCCTCCTGGCAAGGATCAAATGAGATAATGCATATGAAATTCAGTATTGGGCCGGGCTCATGACGACAGCTCAATGAACAGCAGCTGCTACGATTGCGGAACTATTCTGACAAGCGTGCTTTGTTTCTTTCTTCCCTTCCCCACAGCATCCAGTTTGGCCTTCTCTGAGGTCAGATCAGAACTCACTTGAAAAAAAGTCAGGTTGGGGAATGTCAAAAACACAGCAAGCCTATTGAGAAGAATGGAGATTCCCTTCATCTCAGCAGTGGCAGAGACTCTCCTCTGTGTGTCCTGGGCCGCTCTACCAGTGAATTCAGACTCCCAGCCTCTCAGCTGTCCTCCTGTCTTGTTTGGTCAAAGCGCTGAAGATGGAGAGTTTGGGCCTGGCAGAGAGACTGAACAGCTCTGGAGGAACAGGCTTTGATGACGGGAGGGGAGCATGGACTTGGCCTCTGGAATGGGACACTGGCCCTGGGAACTGGGCTGAGCTGAATGGCCTCAAGCCCCCCATTGGATCAGACCCTCCTGTGAGCTGTGTTTTTAGTGGATGAGTTACTGAGAAGAAGCAGAGATAAAAACCAACCCAAATCATTCCTCTGGAACATTATTTCTAAATAAATGTGGTTTGTGGAAATCATCCTATCTTTATGCCTCAATTATAGGAGGAAGTGAAATCTTGGTGAGGAATTTGTAGTTAGAAACTTCTGGAAAAACTGAAGTTCCTGGAGGAAAGCCATACCGTGCCAACACACAAGAGGCTGGTTTTGGTCCTGGGAAAGGTTAGGGGTGAATGGGTTGGAAGTGGGGTGTGAATGCAGCTTTGGAATTTAACTCAGCAGTTCTTCATTCCTGCTGGGGCCTCATCACAGGCCTCCTAATTCGAAATTTTTGGGTGCAGCTTAGGCATTTAACTTTCTTGATACTCATGGGTTGCCTCGATACTCATGGACAGCCACTGATTTAATTATTGGTCTGAAATGTGCAGTTCCTATACTTTTGGTAGTGATTTTAAGATTTGATAAGTTAGTCTTAAAAATTCTTGCAGGGGGCATCCAAATTGGTAATGAGGAAGTCAAACTGTCTCTGTTTGCTGATGACCTGATTGTAAACCTTGAAAATGCTAAAGACTCATCCAAAAAGCTCCTAGAACTGCTAAATGAATTCAGCAAAGTTTCAAGATACAAAATCAGTAGTTTTGCTATACACCACCAGCAACCACGCTGAGAATCAAATCAAGAACCCAACCTCTTTTATAATATCTGCATAAAAAAATAAAATACTTAGGAATATACTTAATTAAGGAGGTAAAAGACCTCTACAAGGAAAATTACAAAACATTGCTGAAACAAATGATAGACAAAACAAACAAATGGAAACACGTCCCATGCTCATGCATAGGTACAATCAATATTATAAAAATGACCCCACTGCCTGTATTTAGTTCGTTTTCACACTCCTGATTAAGACATACCGGAGACTGGTAAGAACAAGAGGTTTAATTGGGCTTACAGTTCCACATGGCTGGGGAGGCTCAGAATCGTGGCAGGAGGCGAAAGGCACTTCTTACATGGCAGTGGCAAAATGAGGAAGATGCAAAAGCAAAAACCCCTGATAAAACCATCAGATCTCATGAGACTTATTCACTACCATGAGAACAGTATGGTGGAAACCGCCTTAGTGATTCAACCTGTCTCCCACCGGATCCCTCCCACAATATGTGGGAATTATAGGAGTACAATTGAAGATGAGATTTGGGTGGGGACAGAGAACCAAACCATATCATTCTGACTCTGACCCCTCCAAATCTCATGACTTCACGTTTCAAAACCAATCATGCCTTTCCAACAGCCCCTCAAAGTCTTAACTCATTTCAGCATTAACACAAAAGTCCACAGTCCAAGGTCTCATCTGAGACAAGTACCTTCCACCTATGAGCCTGTAAAATCAAAAGCAAGCTGGTTACTTGTAGATACAGTGGGGGAACAGTAAATGGTGCTGAGATAAATGGCAAGCCACATGTAGAAGAATGAAGCTGGATCCTCATCTCTCACCTTATACAAAAATCAACTCAAGTTGAATCAAAGACTTAAATATAAGATCCGAAACCACAACAATTGTAAAAGATAACACTGGAAAAACCCTTCTAGACATTGGCTTAGGCAAAGACTTCATGACCAAGAACCCACAAGCAAATGCAAATATATGGGACTTAATTAAACTAAAAAACAAAGATAAATATATGGGACTTAATTAAACTAAAAAGCTTTTGCACAGCAAAAGAAATAATCAGCAGAGTTAACCGACGACTCACAGAGTGGGAGAAAATCTTCGCAATCTGTAGATCCAGCAAAGGACTATTACAATATCCAGAATCTACAAGGAACTCAAATAAATCAGCAAGAATGAAACAAACAATGCTGTAAATAAGTGGGCTAAGGACATGAATAGACAATTCTCAAAAAAAGATATACAAATGGCCAAGAAACATATGAAAAAAAATGCTCAACATCACTAATTATCAGGAAATGCAAATCAAAACCGCATTGTGATACCACCTCACTTCAGCAAGAATGGCCATAATCGGCCGGGCGCGGTGGCTCAAGCCTGTAATCCCAGCACTTGGGGAGGCTGAGGCAGGTGGATCACGAGGTCAAGAGATCGAGACCATCCTGGTCAACACGGTGAAACCCCGTCTCTACTAAAAATACAAAAAAATTAGCTGGGCATGGTGGTGCGTGCCTGTAGTCCCAGCTACTCAGGAGGCTGAGGCAGGAGAATTGCCTGAACCCCGGAGGCAGAGGTTGCGGTGAGCCGAGATTGCGCCATTGCACTCCAGCCTGGGTAACAAGAGAGAAACTCCGTCTCAAAAAAAAAAAAAGAATGGCCATAATCAAAACATTTTTTAAAATATAGTTGTTAGCATGGGTGTGGTGAAAAGGGAACGCTTTTACACTGTTGGTGAGAATGTAAACTAGTACAACCCAGATGGAAAACAGTGTGGAGATTCCTTAAAGAACTAAGAATAGATCTACCATTTGATCCAGCAATCCCACTACTGGATATTTACCCAGAGAAGAAGTCATTGTACAAAAGGGATAGGCCGGGCACAGTGGCTCACGCCTATAATCCCAGCACTTTGGGAGGCTGAGGTGGGCAGATCACGAGTTCAGGAATTTGAGACCAGCAGGGCCAACACAGTGAAACTCTGTCTCTTCTAAAAATGCAAAAACTTGCTGGGTGTGTTGATGCATGCCTATAATTCCAGCTACTTGGGAGGCTGAGGCAGGAGAATTGCTGGAAGCTGGGAGATGGAGGTTGTGATCCAAGATCGCACCACCGCACTCCAGCCTGGGTGACACAGCAAGACTCTGCCTTGAAAAAAGAAAAAAAAGATACCTGCACACACATGTTTATTACAGCACAATTCACAATTGCAAACATATGGAATCAGCCCAGATGCCCATCAATCAATGAATGAATAAAGAAAATAAATACCATGGAATACTACTCAGTCATAAAAAGGAATGAAATAATGGCATACGCAGCAACATGGTTGGAACTGGAGAACGTTACTCTAAGTAACTCAGGAATGGAAAGCCAAACATTGTATGTTCTCACTCATAAGTGGGAGCTGAGCTCTGAGGACGCAAAGGCATAAGAATGACATAATGGACTTTGGGGACTCAGGTGAAGGGCGGGGGAGGTGAGGGATAAAAGACTACACATTGGGTACAGTGTACACTGATCAGGTGATGGGTGCACCTAAATCTCAGAAGTCACCACTGAAGAACTCGTTCAGGTAATCAAACACCACCTGTTCCCCAAAAACTTAAAAAAAATCCTCTAGGGTTGGGTACAGTGTCTCATGCTTGTAATCCCAGGGCTTTGGGAGGCTAAGGGGGAGGATCACTTGAGACCAGGAGTTCAGGACCAGTCTGGGCAACATAGTGAGACCCATCTCAAAATGAAATGAAACGAAATAAAATGGATTAGCTGGGTGTGGAGGTGCGTGCCTTTGGTCCCAGCAACTCAGGACGCTGAGGTAGGAAGATTGCTCAAGCCCAGGAGTTAGAACCTGCAGTGAGATGTGATTGCGACACTGCACTCCACTCCAGCCCGGGCAACAGGTTGAGATCCTGTCTCAAAATAAGAAAAGAGGAAAGGAAGGGAAAGGAAAGAGGAAGGAAAGGAGGAAACAAAAGAAAATCCTTTGGTTCTGAACAACTTCCAGCCTCCCAGCATCCTCCTGGGTTCCGCTCTGGCCTCCTTTCCTCGACTGCCACGGAACCTTTCTCATTCTCTGCGACGTTTCTTCCCATTTAGCCCTGCAGGGCCAGACAAAGAGGAGGTCTTTTCTGGTTTTCTGATTTCTGATCCAGTCTTAAATGGGCCTACATTTTTGAATGATTCCCAACTCTCCAAATATCAGAGTCCTCTCATAACACCCGTTATGAACTCCCTCTTTGACCAACTGTTCTCGTCGAGTCATGGATAAGCATCAGTAAATGCTTCCTTCTTATCTGCTAGCTCTCGATGAGGAGTATGTCAGTGATTTTCCATATGCGTATTGAAGGCAGTATCCTGTCCCAGACATACCAGGGATATATAATGGTGAGACAAGTAGAGGGGGAAGTGGACTGTCTCATATCTGGTGTGTTCACGAAGAGGAAGTGGTTTCATTTCTGGGCTATTAAGTAATATCCCCTCCTGGAATGAGGGGCCCCTTTCCACTTCCTCAAATATTGTGTGCATTTGAAGATGGCTTTCAGGATACAGAGTTAGGTGGGTGGATGGTGATTTTAAGTCTGTTGCTCTGGGTCTAAGAAAATAATTAGGACAAGAGCAGGAGGGTGGGCTGGGCAGCTTTGCCACATGATCCACAGTGGGTGCTTGGACCGTGAAAGTGTAGGTGTGCCCAAATTCAAATTTGATTCATTCAGAGTTTGGTTTCCATTCGGGGTTCGGCAGTTGTGACTGAGGGGGAGGAAGAGGAAGCCCACATCTCTGCTCCAAGCCTTCTTCCCCACAAACCTTCCTCTTATCCACAGGCATGGAGCCAGGGTTGAGGGTGGAAGTCCACGGCTGTCAAACACTAATTTCGCCTAAAGCCGAAGCAGCCCTAAGGGGCCTGGGAAAGAGACTCACTGCCCTCTCAGCCCTTCTGCTCGTGGCGGTTTGTCCATTACATCCAGGAACACAAAGGGAAATTAGGAAATGGGCTTCAAGATCAGGTAGTCCTGCTTCAAATCCTGGCCGTCTCTTACTCTTCAACATTGCAGGGTTTATTTGAATCCTTTGAGGCTCTTTTCCCTATATGTAAAATGGGGACTCACAGAGTTTTTTTGGAAGGACTGGGTGGGGTAGATTAGTGGGTAGTGCCTGGCCTGAGCCTTCCATCTTCAAACGTGTTTTCCCAGGTAGACTTAGCTTCTTGACTACTGCCATTCAGAAATGAGTTCTTTATCTTCTACTTAATGCTAGTCAGTCTTCGATATTCAATCTTAAAAACATAATTAACCAGTATGGATGACAATGTCTTCTGGTGATTCAGTCCTCATCCTTTGTTAATTTTGATTTCTATGGGCAAAAAG